AAAAAAAAAAGATAATAAATAAATAAAACAACCTAAAAAAGAAAAAGGTTTGACCACGAAATATTAGTTATGTTTCGTTAAATAAAAAATAAATAAAGAAATTTTTTGAAGGTAAATACCTTCGAAGTAGTGTCCGTCGGTGTCCTGAACCTACAAAAAGTAAAAAAGACGTTCATTAAATAAAAATGAAAAAAAAATTTTCAACCCAAATAATACCACCATCATATTCCACTTCGAGAGAAGGCTGGAAACCTAAATAAATAAAAAAAAAGGCGTTAATGTTGTTTAATAACGCCATTACACAACCACACCCACCCAAATAATACCTACCGTTATATTTCACTTCAAGAGAAGGCCAGAAACAATAAATAAATAAATAGAAAGGCGTTAATGTTGGTGATACAAATACCGCCTTCATCGCGTCTTTTTCGTTATTAAGATATGTTTAATTTTGTTAACCCTAACTATTTTCCGAAAATTCTGCCATATTTGTCGATATTTTCTTTAATTGTCACACTATCTTTTATTCCATTTTCTTCGCCCAGTCTTTTTATTACTTGCCAACTAAACTTTTCTTTGTCTTGTCGAGGTATCAACTTAGAAGCAAACATTCTGAAAAAATACTTCCGGTTATTTCTTGTAATGGCTACGTTGATCCCGCATTTCAATACAATTTATAGTTTATCGCACTTGCGATAATATCATATGGATCATTTATAGTTTATTTTTTATTTTTCTAGGAACGACTTAGGACCTGGTTGTCCAGATGAATTTTCCACATAAGCATTGCAATACTATGAATATCAGATACAGAAATATATTCTCTATCTTTCAACAATAACTTCGAGCGCTTCATAAGGAAGATTTCCATATATAATTAATGGTTTATCAGCATATCTTTTGAATTGGAACTTTCGTAAAAAATGCATGGCGCACCAATTTATTAATGCGATTATACAATCACATGATACAGTGGTGTATAGGGATGACGCACTTATTGCGCATGATATTTTTTCATCGCATATGCTACTTTAAACTTGGAGTTTGAAATTGCAAATTGTGTATCTTTGCTTTATTTTTTTTTTATTTGGTATTTTATTTTTTAATTTGGGAACATCACTAACATTCTCTTTTTTTTCTTTTATTTAGGAATTCCAACAATAAAAAGAAGTAACATGAAATAAAAAAAATCATCCAACTAGCATAAAATTATTTATCTCATTGAATCTAAAGATAACCCTTCATTATAATAACTATTTTAACCAACCACGAGAAGTACAAAACAAGCTAAGATTAAGAGACATGATCAAGGTTAAATTCCAAGAATCAAATCAAGAAACACAACCAAAAGCTTTCTAAAAAAAAGGAGGAACATTAATGACGCTCTAAGATTAAAAAAAAGATGCAAACTATTTGTGAAATTCATATTGAAGTCCAAGGTATTTCTAGAATAAAAAAAAAAATATTATTAATAACGTTTTCAAATAGAAAAAAGATACTGAAATAAAAAAATGCAAAAATTACCTTTCCAACAAGATCTATACCGAAGTTCAAAGTGTTTCTAAAAAAGAAAAAGAAAAATAATGTATATAAGGTTCTCAAATAAAGAAAAAAACATTAAAATGAAAAAACGCGATACCCACCTTTCCAACTTGCAATTTTTCTAAGTCCATATCAAAGCTCTAAAGAAGAAAGAACAATAGCGTTAACAAAAAAGATACTGAAACGAAAAAACAGGATACTCACTTTTCCAACTTGCGATTTCAAGGTTCATACTGAAGTCCAAAGTATTCCTAAAAATAAAAGGAAAGAGTATTGTTAATAATAATGTTCTCAAATAAAAAAAGACACCAAAAAATTTACCTCTATTTGCGTATTGCGAATCTATTAAAACATTAACTGCATAAAAATTAAGTCACAAGATTTCTGCCAATAAAATTTTGTGGAGTTACCTATGCGACAATTGTGATACATGATTTGCAATAAACATACATGTATGGGACAAAACGGAATAACTACCATACATACATCACCATACATTGATCACCATACATACATATATCGGTCACTATACAATAAATACTAAATAATCTTTAAAAAATATTAAGTTTCTTTGGTTTTGATGTAGAAGTTAACAACATCATCAAATAGGTAAAAAAGAGATCTACTTTCGTATTCTAGGATCTCTTTTATAACTGACTTATGCTTACTACCCCACCTTTAAAAGATTGTCTAAAAAAATTAGTAACTTGTTGATGATTTTTTTTTTCTACAGACGCGCAAGAAAATGCCTTTACACCTCATTGCTTATGAATTTCCATAAACTCGGATATGTGATACACAAGAACATGTATATATGGAGTAATTGCACTTGGACTGTACAATCCTTTTTCAATGCGATTTGAATTTGGGATAACTCTATCTGGAGTTAAAAACAATTCCAGCCAGTTATCTGCTTCAAATTGAAACTGGTGTGGGTCATACTAATCTTTTAGTTTAAGATTGAAGTAAATTAGGTTGAATCTATCCCACAACTCCCGAATTTTTTTGGCTCGTGAAGGTGGTAATATTTGACCTAAATTAAAATCTTTTAGAACTTTTAACTTATCATTACCCATTAATGATGTATAATTCCATGTATTAGATCCATTCTCTTTCCAAAATTGAAAACGAACTCCAATTCTGTTCATTTCTTTCACAATTTCATTACGACATACATTATCAAATTGATCAACATCTTTTAATTCTGACAAGACTAAGCTCCAAAGACGATCAAAAATTCGAAGCATAATATGAAGCTCATCTGGAATCCAATGATCTAAGGAAATCATATTAAAGAGTGGCTTTTTACTATGACCTGGATATTCATTTATTTTCTCCATTTTTTTACTAATCTTCCAATTAGTTTGATTATTAACTTGGTCATGCTTGGATATCTGACACCATGGGCAAAAATAATTTGAATTAGCTGCATTAAATCCAAGACATATAGACAAAAACTTCCAGTCAGAGCTAAAGTACAACTCAAACTTCCAAATTATATTATTAATTTTTAAACCATAATTTTTAAGATCATTTAGTTCTTGAATGAATGGTGACATCATAACTTCCAAAAGTTCATAGCTCTCTATCCCTGGAAAAAGAATGGTTGTATAGTTATGATCAGGTTTGTGAATGTTTTGTTCATCATTCAAAATCCCCATAGTAATCATAACCTGTTTTATTTTCCTTTCTACGTTACGTCCATCTCCAGATATACGTAAATGAATTATTGGATTACTTATATCCAATACTCCTTTAAAGATGAGAGCTGGTATAATATATGTTAGAATATCTTTTGCACTACGATGCCCTCCATTTGTAATGTTTTTAATTTCATCAGTTATCCCATAATCAAAAATATTTGAATTTTCAACAAAATCTAATTTGTCTAAAGTTGGAATAATTGGAATATTTTAATAAGAGTAATTTCAATTTTCTGATTCATATTTTTTGTTATTTTAAGTCGTTGTTCAGATACTATCCATTCACGTTCTAAATCAGGTTCCACTGCAGCTAAAGCCCTATAACCCTCACGAGACATGTAATTTTGGTCAATTACTTGTACTATTGAAGTGAGTTTTTTTTCTTTTTCTCTATCATCCTTTGATCCATAAGCAATTTGAAAGCCCATATGCTTAACATTATACGATATTTGCTTGAGAATTACTTGATCCTTGCCATAAATCTTAGCTCCTTCAATTTGAACCTGTTCTTTCAACTGATCCCCAAATTTGCGTTGTCTTTTATATATCATTGATTTGCCACAATGCTCAATTGGTTTTATTTGTTTTAGTTGAATATTACTATTACTTTCCCTTTTACTCTCTCTGGCTTGCTTTAATGTTTCTAAGTGAATTCCAAAAAGATGTATTCCTGACATTAATGTCTTTTCATTATTAGGAAAAAGTTTCTAAAAAAAATATATTTTAATAATTAATTCAATTCTAGCAGTAAAAATTTAACACTTACTCGTATAACGGCATTTGCTGCTGCTGTTGGAGACGTGTTTGAGCAAACATCTTCTGAAAAATTTGACCCATACATAACCCTAAAAAATGGCTTTTCTCTTATATAATTGATAGAACATTCTACTGTTTGCTTGTTATTACCTTGACCCCAGGTAGTTTCAACACAATAAGAATCTGGAATTTTATATTTATTTTTCCCTTGAGAGTAAGCTAAAATTGGAAGTTGAAGATATAGACCTTCTTTTTTAACTCTATAATGATAGCTCCGTCTGCCATCAGTATATAATATAACATCTGTTTTGGGGTATTCGGTAATTTCTTTAGGAATGTTTTCGCAAGTTTTTTTAGCTTTAATTTTCGGCATTGTTAAAATTCTGTGTAATACAGAATGTAAAATTCAAATAAAAAATAATTTTAAGAATTTATAAGAATATTCTTTAAAAATAAAAATGTAAATGTAATAAGATGGAAAAAAAATAAATAAAAAAAAAAA